CCCAGCCAGCATTGTAGCAGATTGGGAGTGTAGCATTCTCAGCTGGGTCAAGCATTGATGCCTGTACTGCTGCAAAAGCTCTCTGGGGGAGGAAACATGTCACATCACAGGTGACCATACCAATCTCAGAGCTAAAATCAAAGGGCATCAGCAAGAGCGAGCCCACAAGCAGGCAAGGGAGAGTGGAGATGTGGACTGGACTTAACCAATCTTCTAGCCATCGCAGCTAGAAAACCAAATCTGTGAGTTTGTAAGAAAGCCCCAGGTTCTCTGTTACTTTAAGATAAAGGCAGCCCAGCCAGGGGGCATTACAGGGCAGGCAGGGGACAACTGGGCTAATGAGGCAATTAGCAGCCAGCCCAGGCAGTCACCTGACCAGAAGTAGGCAGAGCCCTGGTAGTACATAAGTCTGGGGTTTGGGCTGGCAAGCCAGTCTGGGCCTGCTTGCTACAAGGGTAGGAGCTCCTGCCCAGGACAGGCTCCCAGGGATGCTGGTCTGATTGCTGCCTGTGGAAACACGGAGGCCCAGGGAGCTACAAGGAGCCAGGCTGGGAGGTATGCAGCACAAGGGTAAAGAAGGCTTGCCCTCTTAAAAAAAGTACAGAGGGCTGCTTTCTCTGTTGTTGTTAAGTTATAGCCTGGGGGCTTGTTTACTTTATCATTTGTACCAGCAGTTTCGGGTTGGGACTATAGGGGTGGCAGGAGGTCCCATTAGTGCCCAAGGGGCAGGCTCAAGGCTCGAGCACTTATTTAGCCCATAGTGGATGAAGAGCGCAAGGTGCAGCAAGCCAGGGGACTGCTGATGGAAGGGACAAGCAGAGCTAGAACCATAAAGCCAAGTCCAATTCAGTGGGTCCAGGCTAGAAAGCCTAGTGAGAATAAAGGAGGCCGAAGCCCCAAGCCCCACACGGGGAACAACACTGCAGTAACACCTGCAAGGCATGGGGCATGGTAAAGGGGAGAACTTGGAGCCATGCAATTAGCCCTTAAAGCTTGAGGTGCCCTTTGGTGGCACAGTTACAGAGTGAGGCCCAGCAAGGGGCCTGAGGGCTAGTGAAGCCCAGTGAGGGGCCTGGGTGCAGACAGAGACCAGCAGGGTCCAGTTGGACTGAGGCCACACAAAGGCCTGTGGGCAGCCTCCCTATTCATTTATATTGCCATTAAGGCATGGCAGGAGAGGCAGGAAGGTGCCCTAGGGGCAGAGTAGGACACGATCACGGAAACACAAGGGGGTGTCACAGCTACCCCTGGAACCCCAACACGTTAGAGTTCAAACCCTGCCCCCCAAAATCCAACCAAAGCCTACAGACAGGAGTTAGGACAGAGTCAGCCTCGGGTCTCTGAGGACTCCCTGATGCCTCCTGACTCATAGGGCTGGATATGTGGATTGCGAGGCAGGCAGAACTTGGCTCAGAGGGGTCAAGCTGGGCCGTCATGGAACCTTGCTTGCCTTACTGAAGAAGGAGGAGTCCAGTGTGTCTGCTGCATCCGCTGCATCGTCATCCAGGAAGCTGGGATACATGAAGCTCCGTTTGGTAGTTCTTTGTTTTGGTGCCAAGGGCTCCAATGCAGAACGCCCCTTTTAAGGGAGAACAAAGAAAAGCAATGGGTAATGAAGGAAAAAAACGACTCCAGTATTTGCATAGAGGTCAGCCCTGGGGCTGCAACTTATGTGCATAGGTTCCCCCAGAGAAGAAAGACATCAATGCTTTAATCTTTGATTAAAGTATTCTGGAGCATTTCACCTACCTCCTGCAGCTCCACCAGCATCAACTGACAGTTATTCCATAACATGCATCGTTACCCCAGTGACACCAGCCCCACAAGCACCTTTATTCTCAAGTGGTTAAGCTTACACTGTGATGACTGAAGGTGAGCCCAGCCATTGTCAACACAATACACTTCTGTGTTCTGACTGTGCTAGAACTAGCAATCATACTAATTAACACATGTCAAGACACCTCTCAAAGAATGACAGCCACATAATCCAACTACACTGCAAACCAGTTTTCTATAGCTGGTGGGAGCAGGCTTTCTCCAAGATGAAGATAGCCTGCTGCAGGACCCTGCAGAACCCTCCCTCCCCCACCAAAAAAAGGAGCATGGTGTTTAAGGTTGCCATCTGATGCTGATCTTCCATTTTCACTCAGCCACCCAACTTCTCTCACCAAAATTCTGCTCTGAAAAAAGGGAATTGAGGATGCGCTGAAATCTGCAAACCAACATTTTCCTATTATCATGAGGAAAAGTGAATTTGGAGGCCTGTAAGTAAGTCCTCAAGCAAGACCTGGCAAATCAAGCATTGTAGGGAAACCGCCCCCCCTCAAACAAACTACACTCACTGCATTTGAGACCCCTGGGGCAACCCTAGATGACACCAAGCCCAAGTGGAGATCTTGGTCTTCGTAACACAGACATGCAAGTCCAATACTCTGAGGGAATGTCAGCAGATGGTACCATGTTACCACGCAGAACTCACTTTAATTAGAGCTGCAGCTGCCCTGAAGCTCATACGGGCGACAGATTGCCTCTTTCTTCGGGGCAAACGCGCATAGCCCGACCGCACACTGTTGAATGATGCCAAAGAGATGACTCCTGGGGTCAAGGGTGGTAGAACCGGGTGAGGGGTCCGAGGACGATCAACTTCATCTGGATGCCGAAACGGACGGCCCCTGGCCAAGGGGTCTACAATCTTAAAAATTACACATAGGAGAGATGCTGGAGTCAATGAACAAGCCTGGACTGTTAGCTACATGTGTAAAAGGAAAGGGAAGAAGAAAAGGCAGGTATATATTTTGCAAGTAGATCCTAGTGTAAATGGGCCTTCTGTTGGGATTGAACCCAGAACCTTTGATTGACAAGCCAGAGCTGCTACTGCTGATACCACAAGGTCACTCTTAGATGGTATTTTGGGCAATACTTAGAAGAAAAAAAAACAAATTATCCTAATGGAAGACACTGGCCACCTTGCTACCCCTTGCTACACTGCAGCCTGGAGGGAATGGCCCAGATTTGGGGTCTGTTTTAACATTCAGATGAGAGTAAGGCCAGGAAAGGCCCCTGAAGGTCTTACCTTGGGCATCTTGGATGGCTTTGGTGACTCGGTGCCTTGGAAGGAGGGCACCTCCTGGCTGGGGAGCTCCAAGTCGCGGTAAGGGGCCTTGAGCTTGCCATACCTCAGGCTGCAGTGCTGCAGGCTCTTGCGTTGCCAGTGTTGTCGCTTTCCTTCCCAGTCGCTGCTGACACCAAACCAATCCGCCGTCCCCCTGGAGACCCCAGGTGAGACAGAAGTCATTGCTCAGCTGAAACAGTCTGCATGCCACAGCCTGCACAGGCTAAGCACATGGGGAGTGAAAAGCTAAACAATGAGGGCCACACAGTCCCTACAATACTGCCCATGACTTGGCACTGTGCCTATCTAACATCTCCCTTACATTCCTTTTACTGTTTACAGATTTACAAAGCAATGTAGAGCTGATTGCAACTGGGCTCTAAGGGACTATAGGAGGTAACTGCTCAGTTTGGCATAAGCAGTGCTCAGATCCCGTTTTTCATATGAATGACATGAGTGCGGTGATAGTAGCTCAGTCGCTTTATCAAGGCCACTCACCACCCCCAGCAGAAGTCGATCTGCAGCCTCTGCCCCAACTCCACCCTGCCAGGATGGGTTGGCTCCCTAAATGCCATCACCACTGACGGTGGCAGAGCACCAGGCAGACCTTGCCAGCATGATGCAGAAACAGAAGCACAACCCACCGTGTGAAGTTTTACACAAGTCCTGGTAAAAAACTCTCATCCCCAAGAAGTGGCTCTGTGCTGAAAAGGCAGCTGTTCTAACCCTAATTAGGGACCCTTGAATTGTTCCCAAAATAGGAATTGTCCATACGAAAACAAAAATAGAGGACATTAGCTTCTCTGGTATACAGCTTCAGACTCCTGCTGCCTGGTACCTCAGTACTGCGCCTGGAGTCGAAGCAGAGGCCATCTCATGAGAAGCAAGGAATTATTCCCCTCCTCTCAACCCAGTGCACCCAAGCACTGGCTGATGCCCTCAGCGCTGCACACCACTTACTTGCGAATGCTCTGTGACAGGGAGGTCTGTCTGCGGAAGCCAGGCTGTCTCTCTAAGGGACTGTCATCTCTCCTCCCTCTGGGTTCTTGCAGGCTCACGCTCTTCTGATACACTGGGACTTTGAGAGGCTGGAAAGCACAGTAAGCTGTTAGGCGAGCCGCGCAGGGGAGAAGAATACATCTCTGGACAGCACAAGTCACTTGGCCCCATGCTGCTCAGCCAGCTGGGTAGTAGCTAAGCCTGATTATGGTCTCCATCGTAGCTGAAACATTAGGGGGTGCCCAGAGGAGACCTGAAGTCTGAACTTGAATAGCTGCATAAAAGCATGACTGCAGGTGTCCTCTTTGCATAGGAGCTGCACCTCCAAATGCAAAACTGTGCCCTTTCCCCATCCACCTGCCTTTCAGCAGCACGGCACCCATGTAATAATATCCCACGGTGGTTTCTTGGGGAGAATGACTGCTCGCAGCCAAGGGCTGAAGAGATCAAGTGCGCTTGCTGTGGTCAGGAGGAAACCACTGCTAACCATCTCACACTGGCTAGAAGCCCACCCCTGGGAGGCTATAACTGCTGACACATACCACCCCAGCAGGCAGTTGGACAGCAGCCTGGAGAACACGACCATTGGTCGTGCTCACATGGGTGTCCTCCCATTCCTTAGGGGAGACCCTATCCACCAACATGATGACCACAGTAAAGAAAAAATGCTTTCCCACCTCAAGGGTTGCTGATGCTTAGCAGGTTAATCAGCCAATTGGAGCCTGGATTTGATGCCCCTGTGCACGCTTACCACTTTCAGGCTGCTGTCATCTTCTGTGGGCACTGGTGGAATCGTGATGGAGAGGTTGGGAGGCTTCTTGCTCTGCAGGCGGCTACTGCTGCTGCTGGAGCGGCTGCCCCCGTTCTTATCGCTGGACGACATCTTGAGCAGGAGGAGCTAGGCAGGCTGAAGGAGGAAGGGCGGTGGGGGAGGAGGGAAAAGAGAAGGGGAGAACATAAGTTAGTCCATAGATTTTTGGGTCAGCGTTGCTGACTGCGCAGGGGTGGGTGTCAATCAGTCCCCTCTCCAGGGAGGAGGCCAGGTAATGGCTGTGATGCCCATTCCATGGATTTATCGCAGTCCCTCCCTCACCGCCTGCTGCAGAGTAAGCAGATACACGCCAGAGCCCATCAGAGAAAGTATTAACCATTAATGGTTCTTAGTGCTGCAGAGATCCTGGCACTTCTTTAAGTGCTTCTCCTGCCACCACGAGATGAATGCAGACTAGTGAGGGCCTCCACTTTGCCCCCACCCTACGAGAGATCAGCATTGTACACCTTGAAGTCTACCTTGCAGAGGGCCTACATACTACCCAAATATCACAACAGCTTTCATGAGCTCTAAACCAGCCTCATTTAACAAATGAAAGAAGCCAAATCATCTGCCCAAGGCAGGAAGTCAATGGAATAAAAAATCCCCAGTTCCCAGGCCCTTCTTCCAAGACCTTCTGCAGCTTGACAGTGCTGTGGGTCTCAGGACACCTGCTACTCCCAGCGGTCCAAGTTGTGGCGCTGCCCAGAAAGGCTGTATGTTGCTCACTCCAGGCTTTGAAGATGCTTCCCTCTAGTCCAAGCCACTTGTCTCACTTTGTTGGCTATGCACAGCCCAGGAGCTGAAGGCCCAACAGATTCCCTGATGCTGTTTCACTGCCCAAGAACTGCGCTTACTCAGCACAGGCCACCCATTAAAAAAAACCCCAAAACCCAAAAATGGAGCCCCTGTTAGCCCAGAGCAACTGAAGCTGAACAAGAAAACTATTTGCAGACCATGGCACCTGTTGGCCAAGGGGATGCTCTCCCAAGTGCTGCAGTGGAAGCACGCAGTTGGCAAGGTTTTGGAGAGCAACGTAGTTATGTTGAAAACAGCCCTACACTAGTGGGGAGAAGGACTAGATGATCAGAAAAGCTTCGCCATCCTTGGCTTCAAAAGGTACTCAAAACCCGTAGGCCAACAAAGCAAGTCCAAAAGGGAGCATGAGAGTGGTTTTACCTGGAGCAACCTAAGAGAGACAGAGAGAGAGAGAATGAATCATCCCTTCTGCCCTGATCTCTCCAGAAAACAGAGGCCAACTTGGCTAAAAGGAAGTGGGTCTCAGTGCCAAAGCCTGTCAGCAAACAGACCAGTCAAGGTCATCCCCCTCCTGTCTCACAGGGGGAGAGCAGGAGAGAAAGCTCTTTCATGCAGCGCACAACGTTCCAGCACAGTCGGCTTTAGCAAGCTCTTCAGCACTTAATCCTGTTAGCGGCACTACTAATCTTCCAGCCCCTTGCTAGTGAAATCAGACCCCCCAGCCCAAGAACAAAAGCAGGAGGACAGGCAACGTGCAGGAACCAAAGTGGCACCCTGGCACAGCAGAGGGCAGAGAAATGGGCAGCCTGTTCCTGCCCGATGTGGACAAAGGAATTGCAAAAATCCCAGGCACCAGCCTCTGGAGGCGATATACAGAAAGCACTTGAATTTCTGGACTTCCTTTTCAAGTACAGGATTAGGGTAGGCAGACTCTGGGACAGCTAATAACAAACATCTCTGTGCTTTGCCCTCTGGCTATCCAGTGCAGTGCTGTGCTCATTAATATAAAAACTGGAATTGCTTCTTTTATATCTTTTTTGGTAGGGCAAGCAGCAAGCCACAGCTCTCAACCCCATGCACCAGTCTAGAATCATAGAATCAGTGAGTGGGAAGGGACCTAGACAGATCATCTAACCCAACACCCTGCCATGGGCAGGAAGGAGCACTGGGGGTGGCAGGGGTCATAAGACCCAAGCCAGGCGCCTGTCCAGTCTCCTTTTGAAGATTTTGAGGGAAGGTGAGAGCACCACCTCTCTGGGAAGCCTATTCCAGGCTCTGGCCACCCTTACCGTGAAGTAGTTCTTCCTAATATCTAACCTAAACCTATCCTCCCTCAGCTTGTGGCCATTGTTCCTGGTGACTCCAAGGGCGGCCCTGGTGAACAGACTTTCCCCGAGTCCCTGCTGGTGGCCCCTGCAACTGTAAGTGGTGCTGGCCCTAACGAGATGATTGCTTTAAGACAGTGGAACAATCTGATGAGTTTAATCCTGGTGGGTTTGAGAACAAGCTGTGGGTGGTTAAAACTGCCCCAGTTCCCTAAACTTTGCTATACGTGAAAGGGGATGAATTTGGCAAAGACGGGAGTCGAACGCGTGATGTGCCAGCTCACAGCAGTCCGCCTTGCGTCCTGAGCTACGCGTTTATACTCCCATGAAATGATGGCAGGAGCATAGGTTTCAAAAGGCAGCGTGACCAAGGGAAGCAAAGAGAGGGGGTCCAATACAGAGGTCCTTCAGCATTTGGATGAACTTTCTGAGCAGCTCTGTAGACTCACGCCACACAAATGTGGAAGGGAGATGGAGCTCAAGCAACTGACACACATGAAACAAGTTACTGGTAGCACGTGGAAAGCAGACACCGTGCGCAGTTGTTCTGGAGTGACCCAAAAGCATCAAGAGATCCAGGCTGAACTCCCATTTTTGCCAACATCCTGTGCTACCCTGAGTAAAGTCACTGCCCTCTTGCTTCCCCCTCTGCTGCAAAGTTGCTTTAAGGTTAGTACCCGCTTAACACCAGTACTAGGACACCAGAAATGGATTTCAGCAACCAGCAGGCTTCATGTGCTCCAACCCACCTATCTTCTTCTCTGGTGGGTCTCTCTCCCTATACCCTGGTGTGGGATGGCAGCCTGTCAGGGAGTACAGGAAGCTGCAGCCTAGGAGCCCTGTCCTTCCTGCAGTACAGACCTGGGGAGCTGGACCCACTGAAGGGTGGCAGGGGTTTACTAGCAATGCGGAGAAGAAGCTTGGCTTTGGTGCACAGATTGGGCCAGGGTGTGAGGAAGAAGCACCCGAAAACAGCAGCTTTGCCTCACTGCTTTCAGGAGTGCGGGGCTCCTCCACCAAGGCACTCCAGGATCCAGTCCTAAATGCCTGTGGTTTATGAACTACAAGCTTCTCTTTCTCAGCACAGTCCCTAGGACCTCGACATCTCTCCTGCCACCATGGCTGGCTCATCAGCCACTTTGTGTTCTGCGCAGTCCACACTGCCGTGGCGCTGGCCCGACAGCATGAAATATTCTTTCTGCTGACAAGATGCAGCATATTTTTTTCTTAGTACAGCTCCATTTAGCAAAACCTTCCTGGTTACCTGAAGGGATGTCAATCTAAGACCAAGTATGAGCACAGCCATATTCCAGCACAGAGGGAGCAACACACGATTCAAGCTTTGGAAGCTGGTTGGAAGTCCAAATTTTATAAAGAAATTTTCTTGCATCCAGTCATGGCCCTGGGCCAAGGGGAATGAAAATATCAGGAAAGAAAGCTTGTGTGTGGTATTTAATGCAAGCACAAATAACCCAGCGGTCCAAACATCTTGGGTCTGATTGTTCCCCACCGACACATCTCCACTGGCCTTTTAAATAGCCGTAAGACGAGACAGATCTGGGGTCTGTTTCATCTTCTAGGTGTTGAGCCTTTAAGAGGGGGAGGGTCCAGCCATTCACCGAAACCACGAGGACTAGGAGCTTCTTGTCTTAAATCTAGAGCAGAGATTCTCCCAGAACTGCACACCGTCAGAAGCTGGGGTTTTAAGCAAACCATCAGCTCACAAGAGAGCTGGCTGGGCTGCTCTTGCCCTTAATGCAGGACACAAACACAAAGATGGTATCCTCTAGAAGCTAGACTGGCTACGAGCTGGAAATGCTTTAAGAAAACAGCCCCTTTCAGAAGGCTGAATAAAAGGAAGAGAAGAAACAGGTAAACGCACTAGCGAGGCCCAGGGTTTGTACTTCAGATGTCAGGTCCAGGATCAACAGAAGAAAGAAAGTCTTTCCATGACGTGCAGCTCTGAGCTCATGGTGATGGGTTTGGCACTTCTCAGTAATAATTTATGGATACTCTATGTTGAAGAGGGGGAAGGAGGGTTGAGACCAAGTGGCTTTAATGCAACAGGAGACTGCTTGAAATACATGGGCAAGAAGGGGAAATGGTGCCTCAAGACACTTGTACAAACACTGGAGAGTTGAGGGGCTTTGCCAGGACAGCTGATTCTGGGGATTTTGTCTCCTCTCCAGCTAACCTACCCAACCAGCTTGAACCAAGGCCTATAAACGCTTGGCTAGAAGGACCTCTGAGCAGGTAGAAAAGGACCACGGCTGGATAGAAAACTGAGGAAGGTCAGCCTGCCTCCAGTACTGCCTGGGGAAGATAAACCTTTATATAGGAGAACATTATACATGACTGCTTTACACCAGGCTTAAAATGCTTTATTCCCTTTGGTATGCACCACTTTGGTTTATGGTAGGCTGCCTCTCACTGGTCCCAGGCTCCTGACAAAGCTCAGCTGGGTGTGCTGGGCAAGCAGAGCCAGAGCTTGGGGCCCAGTAAGAGTGGCGAAGAGGCCTTGTGCAATTAGTTAAGAGCACAAATGAGTTACTGAAAGGCAGAAGAAAGCAGGGATTTACCACACATCTGCTGCCCTGCATTTGGGAACTCCCTTATGCTTGTTCCCTAGAAGAAAGTTTGTAGGTTATTTCGAGTCCCAGGGGGTTAGGGTTGCATCCACATAATGTGAGCTTGCCAGGTTCCTCCAGATCAATTCAGAGGTGCAAAGTCAGCCCAGTACAGCTATCCCTCTGAAACCAGGAGCCCTACCCATGAATAAGCCAGTTCCTGGCCATGCTATCCCAAGAGGGTTGATATCCCAAGAGGGATCTTTACGGCCTACTGAGCTTCCCCCTGCAAACCTTTCTAGGAGAAAGCAGAGAGGCAACTCAACAACAGGCTGGAACATCCCAGTCTGAGTGAAATGCAAAGCCAAATCAAAAAGCAGGATCCAGCGACTATCTGTTAGTTCCCCTTGAAAAGCACTTGGAAAGCAGCTGGTGAGGCAGAAATGAAAACAAGCAAGTTTCAC